TAGATAAATTGAATTTGGGATATGTCATTGTTTTACCCCTTGCTCTTATATAAATTATTGCAAGTTATAGTTTTCACACAGAAGCTGGGGTTTCWAATTACAAGGAACAACATATAACCATAAATGCCTCCTCATACATCGCAGTATTATTAGTATAYGGCATGGAAAAACCTTTATAACTTCAAGAAGCACTGTGACATTTTTTCGGTTTACAATGTATTCAACATCTTACCCCATTTTGAATGGAGTAATTTATTGTTGTTTGTGAACAGGATGAAGTATGGAAAGAGCTTTTATTGGCAGTCATTGGAGAACAGTTTGAAAATTGYATGGGAAAAGGTATCGGGATTGATAATAGATAAACATGTATGTGTAATATATATATGTGCAGGTACTTTGAAGGCAGAGGTAGAATGATCATTTGCTTGCATGCTGTTAGGAACTGGTTATGGGTAACATGGGTGGCGTTYGTGGCTAATGCGTCRTCTTTCACTGCTGTGAGTCCAACAGCTTGGTTCGCTGGTTCGAGCCCTGCGGTCACCACATGTGAATTGAGTTTGTTTGATGTGTTGTTCTCTCCTATGCTACAAGGGTTTTCTCCGGGTTCTCCGGTTTCCTCCCTCTGTAAAAATCAACATGTGAGTTGAGTGTTGTATGTTGTAAACATAAAATGTAGTGGTAGTGCTTGTGGAGGGAACCTCACGGAAAAGCCCTGTACGGGGTGTGGTGGCTGTAGAATATTATTAAATATTATTATGATTTAAGAGGGGCATGCTGTGGTATGTGTGCCTGGATAAGGGGTGCAAGGACAGCTAGCTAGCTAGGACAGGTGACATCTGGTCCATCCAAATGTTCTACAGTATCTCTCATTTATTGATTGATATAGTATATCTCATCAAAAAAAWTTATTAAACATGATGAATCTAGAAGCGAGGGGATGTTGAGGAGTTGTGGGTGAGSCCCTACTCTTCTTTTATTATTCTGTAATACTCTTCTGTATCTGCCTTAAATATGCTGTTAGTGCAGTTATGTAGGCCCCAGCATTTGTTTGACTTCTTGTCAATCTTCCTAATTCTTCAAGGTGATCAAGTGTGTGGCGTAAGCGTTAGTTTGCGTGACCGTGATGACATCATTCAAATATGGAATACAAATGCAGCAGTTGGAAATCAGTCTAAAGTAAGCATTGCAAGAATGATTCTCATATCAAACTTTTCATTAAATGTACTATATAATGCAATACCGTATATAAATATGTAAATGTTTATTTATTATTATTATTTATTTATTAATAATTAAYAACCTGGGGAGTCAAGCACTAGAGCTCCGTGGACCTCATTACCTTTTCCAGCCCATACAGACAGAATTCAGGCATATGGCAGGACCCCACCCCTACTTAATGGAACCCATACTGTACATAGGGTTCATGCGTGACACACACACTTGAACCCATACTGTACATAGGGTTCATGCGTGACACACACACTTGACCCTGAAAAACCTCTGGCCYGTACTGTAGGTAACTGAAAGTATTTCTTGTTTTCCTCCCTTAGGAAAAAGAAAAAAATATATAAAATAAGAAACTTAATTTCAAATTTGGAAACTAATTTAACTAAGATCTGTAATTATTAAAATGTTAATGTTGCAGGTACTAGAAAAAGTGAGGACATTGCTCCCAGATGTTGACTTCCGTGATCATTTCTATAAATGTGAGTAAAGTTTTTAGAGATTATATACATACATGTAATCTGTGTTCCCTAGCTGTCAAAAGGGGTGAGAAAAATGGAATGATTTTGGTCATTTGCTGCAATCTCAAAAAACATATTGGGGAATGAAATTATTCTTTATGACCTGCTGAAGTGTGTCAGTTGACAACCAGCTGACTGTTGCCAGTCATCAGTTGATTGCCAGCTGATTGTTGGCCAAAGTTTGGGTGAGTTTTCAGCCAATGCATGATTATCTAATAATCAGCTACTACATGACTATGCCTCGGCAAACAGGTGCCTGTTCGTTGGTGGTGGTGTGCATGGCTAATGTGTCGCCTCTCACCAATGCGCCCTGGTTCGAGTCCTGTCGGTCTCAGTGTTGTATGTGAGTAGAGCTGTTTGTTGGTTCTCTCCTGTGCTTCAAGGGTTTTTCTCCCGTTTCTCTGGTTTCCTCCCTCCTCAAAAATCAACTTTTAATTTCGAATTCGATCTTTGGGCTTTCACCTAGATGGAGCATAGCTCTGTTATGAATGTCCCATGCTTTGATACGACAGCCAAAGCTTAATAGATTTCTTAAGAAGTATTTGCATATACTTCCCTCTTTTAAAAAATCCTAGATCTGCCGTAGCAGTATTATAGGATTTACAATGCAACCATTGTGACCGGGGCCACTTAGACCAGTTAGACAAGAAAACCAATTAAAAYGTAGAATGAAAACAATACATYCCAACTTTGGRTAGTGGAGCCAATCAGAAACCTAGACTGCACGACAGTTGTGATTAGTCATCCTCATTTTCTCGAAGGAATAAATAGATATGTCGAAAGGCTATTGTTTTCTGCTGCTTTCTGATTTGCTCCACTACCCTAAGTGGGAATGTATTGTTTTTATTCTACAACTTGATTGGCTCTTGCTGTCTAAGTGGCCCCAGTAATAGTAGTTGCACTGCAACTGTCTGTTTAACTTTCCAAGGTCATAAAGAACACACAGCATTTGAAGGTCAAAAACCAAAGATCTCCAAGCCTCCAGGATTCCCCAATGTTTTCTGATCCTGGTTTGTGACGCGGTAACTATATTTGAGGGAGGCATGTATTGAACAATTTGTATAATATATATTAATATTGATAATAATTTTATTTTACTTAAMAGTTAGGGGGATATGAAGTCTCCTACGCAGCTGCTATTAGTGTCCTCACTCCCCTACGTAGCTACTTAGGGGAGTGAGCATTGTGTGACGGCACTAATAGCGCCTGCCTAGGAGACTAGGTGATATGTTGAAGCTTCTTATTAGTATTTTTCCACATTGTTATCAATTCTGTATGAGCATGGTTACCATACTGCACATATTCATGTTTGTTCTGGAAACAGACACAAAAGTAGAAGGATAGGTTATGTAATACTCTGTACTGCAACTCCTTTTTATTTGTTAGATTTATTATATTCATTTTTTGAATTTTTAAGTTGTTAAAACAAGTTGGTTCTTTGGTTTTCAATTTAAAGGTCCTAAGACAAGTTGAGGGAGAATTGCGCAGTGTAACAGGAGTTGTCTCACAATTTTTTTGTTGCACATAGCATTGCAAAAAGTAGAACTTAGTTCTACATTTTGCAACAAATTGTAGCAACTGGCAATGCCATTGCACAGTGTATCACCTCTCCAACAACGTTTCTCACAATTTTAAGGCATATTTTTACACCAAATATTTTTGTGCGTTCTCCCCAGCCTACCCTGGCCCAAAAACGTTACAAGTTGCTGGGATGGTGTTGCAGTGTAACACCTCACCTTGGCAACTTGCAACACTACATTTGCATGTATTGCGAGACAAATTGCTGAAAAAATTACACAGTATAACAGGGCCGTTAGGCCAGTTTAAATGTAAGATTTTGGCCTCATTTACTAAGTTATGCTGTACAAGTCAGTACTAGAGGGATTTTGGCCACACTAACCTTCCCTTTAGCATCTTTCCTTTTAGCATCTTTCCCCTAGAGAACAATTCCTATCCTGCAGCTTAATCTTTGCCTCGGCATTATTCTTTCTCCTGTAAATGAACAGCACTTATTAGTATAGGTGATAAAGGGATTTTGTATAGAATAGTTTTTGATAGAGTCTCTTATGAACTAGGTTAATAAGTGTTTCAAGATTGGAAATGGGACAAAAATGGGAAGTGGAATGTGGGAGGGGATAGTTTCACATTTTTAAAGCTAAAAACAATGAATGTGCTTAGATGTGTACAGCTAGTCATAAATGTTCCAGAATTTTTTTTGAATGGAATTTACCAAAACATGATATGATAGAGTAGTTTTTGTGTGACTGCAAAAAGCTCAGTGCACGCCATGCGGTGATAGTGATGTTTTCTAAAATTTCAAATTGCTGATTTTTTTCTCATACAATTTGATTGGTCTGACAGTGCCATGACCTCGGCATGAGCATATCTGCTCCATGTTCATGCAGTGTTAACCTTCCTGGCATTTGATTGGATGGAGAGTAAATTTTTGTGCAATGTGATTGGTCTGGCAAATCCCTTGTTGCATCATGACAGTGTTTGTGTCGCCAGTCATACTAAAACTGCTTTAAGGCATATAGTCTGGGTAATCATATATCCTTTAAACTAGCTGTATAAGATTGACTAGCTGTCAACAAATCAAGCTTTCTCATTTTTAAATTTAAAATTTAAGCTAAAAACTCGTTTTTAATTTATAATTTTTATGTCTTTATTTAGTATTTATATATAAGTTTTTGGCAACAATTTGTATAAGATGATAAATGAATGTTGAGCTGTATAGAAATGAGTTACAGTAAATTATTGCTACTTTAGTGTCGGTTAATTTACCTCCTTTATTTTTCTATGCACTGTTCAACGATTTATCATTATTTTAATGTGTTATCTTTACATCAATGTAGGCCATACTAGTTTTATACTTGCGTAGCTTATAGGTTTTTTGTTTGTTTGTTTGTTGTTGTTGTTTTTGGTTTGTCACTGGTAGTGTAAGGTTTTTCATTGAATTCTAACATATTATATTACAGTATAAAAGAGTATAGTATTTTTTTACAATGAATTTACTTTTACTCTTAACGTGAAACAAAATTTTAAGTTTTTTTAAGGTTTATTGTCAGTACAWACTGACAATAAACCTTTGAAGAAAAAAGTACTGATTTGTGCAAACCCTTTTTCTAATAGGGATATTAATTTTGTGATTTAATGCTCTAATAAGCTCCATTTTACAGTTCAGTTCAGTGACCACGAATAATATTTCCAAGTCGAGGTTGGAGTTTCCGCGCCTAGCAAAACTATACTTTTTATGATGCGCGGCAACTCCAGCCTCAGCTTGGAACTAGTATTCATGATCACTGAACRGAACTGTAAGATTTAGATTTGTTTTACTTGGCCTGTGAAACAAAGTTGAGTAGAAAAACAAAAGAAAAACGATGGGATTAGTGTATACTACTAGAGCAAGTGCAATAAAACCATGAAATAAAAACAAAGTTGACACTGACAAATATTAGCTTTTTAATCACTAATAGTTGCTTACTCATCAAGAACATTCATTACACAAAAGAGACAAATGGTCTCTTGTGTATTTGTCTTTGTATGATGAATGTTCTGGTTGAGTGATAGCAACTATTAGTCACTAAATAACTACTATTTGTCAGTGTCAACTTTGCTTTAATTTAATGGTTTTACTGCGTTATTGTCTTACAGGTTTATTTATTTCCGTGCATGTCTATTGTATCATTGAAAATAGGCGAGTTCATGTGATCAAATCTGCCATTGTGGCTGACATTTTATCGTTTTTTAGTGTGCTAAATAACTTTCCTTTTATCACCAAAAAGTTACCCCAATTCGCAATATTTTTTTACATTCTCACAAACCTAAAATCCTGTAGAATGCCAGCTACAATGGTGGATTTCATCACGTGACCTCAGTGCAAGTCGCCTATTAACTTGTTATAAAAAGAATTTTGTAATGACAAAACTTGTTTCTATAGCAACAAGTTGTATTATTCCTACCCAGTCTTTTCTCTCTTCTAGTCTTTGCATATAGTCAACTTATTTACATTATACTGCCTTTTTAAATGTATGACGTTTTATAAGCATCTTTAACTTAACTTTTTACGAAAAAAATATGAATTATTATAAAAGGTAAGGAAATAGATAATATTACTTTGGGTTTAATTTTTTTACTGATTTTAAATCCATGAGTATTATTTCTTTCTTTATTGTTACATTTTGAGATAATTAAGTGCATTAATCATACAGCTTCTCATTAATCCCATATAGGTAACTGTCCAATTATTTTCTTAATTGGACAGGTCTTGTTGATATGGGATTAATTAGGCAGCTATATAATTAATAGGTAATGGGATTTCATGCTCCCCAATCAAGAAATAATTAGACTCGAAAAATTCCTCTGACTGCCAAATTAGACTCGGCCTACGGCCTCATCCAATTTTGGCAGTCCTCGTAATTTTCCTCGTCCAATTATTTCTTCATTGGACAGCATGGAGTCCTATTACATATACTAATTTGGATGCAATTCAAAAAATATAATCTTCCTAGTAGCTTTAAATTGGAAAACATTACACCCAGAGAAAGAGAATTGAATAAGCAGAAATGTATTGATCACTAGATGAGTGACAATGCWTATGGATAAGTACCCCATTTTATATTTGGTTGAAGTCGTGGCAGTACAAAAAGTACAGTTCCCTTACCTTGAAAGGTCCTAAAAATCCTCAAAACTGATTGTCTTTTTAAGACAGAGGGTACATTTCTGCCATTTTGAGTACTGGGTATCCCTGCCCGTCTCCCTCTATGATCTGGTCCCGTCATGCAAATGACAGTTGTTTCGAACTTATCCCAGATGCATGCAGCTTACAGCAACCTTTTCTTGTRTGAATGAAAATTATTTCATGTACACGAAAAAAATATTTTTCGTTATAGGGGGAAGTCACTAAACACGTGAAATAGATATTAGACTAATGCGCATTAATAGACACTAAAGGCACGGGCACACGGTGCAACATTGCGCGCAACATTGTTGCTGAAGTAGGATAGTTTTCTACTTCAGCAACGTTGCGTGCAACAAATTGCGTCGTGTGTCATGGCTCGCAACATAAATCGCATGCAATATTGCGCGCAATGTTGCACCGTGTGTCCGTAGCTTAATAACATCCTTTCCGTTTGTGTCTATTTGACTATTACACGTTGACTAGTATTTTTTATTTCACGGGTTTAATGCCTGAATAGACCGTTTTCTCAAAGTTGCGCGCTCATCCAAATTTATAAAACTTGACGGGCCACGATATCAGAACAGGAGCTTTATAACGAGAATTATCATACATCTCTATGAGTTTTTTCGATAAGAATTCATAAAATCGATTATTCTTCTAAAACTTGCTTCTCAATTTTACTGGATTTGCGTTTTTCAGATTTGTGCCCGTCAAGTTGGATGCGCACGCAATCTTGAGAAAATGGTCTATTTCTATTAACCCCCGGTGATCCTGCATGCGATTAGTACATTTCTGTCTAGCGATGGAACGCCACAGGAAGCCCAAGCTCTGTATCTGTATCCTTTAAAAACCAACGCATGTGAGAATGTTCATCTCATTATACGTAAAAAAAATTTGAATGGGAATGAAGATACATTTAGATTTTTTATTCATTTAGATTTTTTATTCAAGAGATTTGGGTGTATACGATTAGTGTTGCCACCTGTGGAACGCTATAAGTTTAGACACTTATAAAGTTATTGAGTAATTGATTGACACAGAGCATGGGCTTCCTGTGGAAATGTGAAATATTGTTTTAGCTTTTTTAGACACGTATCTGTATTCATCAAGAACGTATGTAATATATATAAAAGATTTTCATGTTGGGTTTTTAAATCTCATCTGTTCCTTGATATCTTGTGGTATACTTTTCGTACTAAGCATTCTCACTGCATCTCRCACATCAGCAATGCTGCGGTACAAGTTTCGCGATTTCAAGTTACCCGTATCACCGCACCCTATACCTTTACATACGAGCATGGATGATAAAGCGACTGATGGTTCCGACTCGGACAATTGATGGGTTGCAAGCATTCCCAAGAGAGTTAAAAGACAAAAACATGGCGGCCATTGTGGTACCGTTAACAATGGATGGTAATGAGAAATCTTTTGTTAAATGGTACCAACATGGCCACGATGACGTAACGTCATCAAACACAAAGCGCTCAAGCAAGGCGCCAAGGTACTTTCAAAGGATTATTTCAAATTTGAACCTTGAAACCTTGACTGAATGCTTTGTGTTTGACCAGTGAACCGATGTATGGAAAATGGTGAATTCGACTACACAGTATCTGTTTTAAAGTGCTACTA